TAGCGCGGTCCCAGCAGCGAGGGCCACGGGTGTGTCTAGCTCGAACATCACTCGGATGATTCGATTGCCGTTGTAGAGAATCGTGTACCTGACAAGAGCAGAAAACAACCCCACAGACAGCATGATTGAAAAAATAAGTCCCATCTAAGGTGTATTATAGTACACGGCACCAAAATTACCCAACCCTTAACTTCTCAAGTGTAAGACAGGCCTTCCAAGCGTGCCTGCGGTATCTCAGGACCGAACCAACTTCTTTGCCAGCTGGATCTCAATTCGCTAAAAGAAAATCAATTTGGTCAAGGAAAGAATCAGGGGCTACAAGCAGCTGGCTTGCGACAAACAACAACGTCCAGAGTCGGACATGACAATTGTGGCCAACATCTCAACAAGGTGTGCACATGAATCTCAAACGACACTTGTCTCCAATTCTCCCGTGGCATTGCAACTCCCACCTCTGGTTGACGTAGATGCCGGGCTCCTTCTCTCTCCCCTCGGGGCCGTGGATTGGAAGGTCGTCTATGTAGCTCCCCACGGGACCGTAGATTGGAAGGTCGTCTATGTAGATGTTCGCCAAGTACTTCTGCTCCACCTGTGGTATTAATAGTGTGCGTGTGCACAAGCGCGTGAACACAAGTAGAGTAAGAATTATCGGCTTCGGGGCGGTTTGTGTTGAAACGCGAGCAAGGAAAACGACTGTTGGCTTGAGTTTGAGTTGTAGGTAGCGGCTACAAGATCGTTGGGAATCAAATAACAAAAGTTGCAATTGATGGTGAAAGGCTGTGTACACGACTCGAGGGAGGCTGAACATACAGCAGTAGTGGTCACGATATAGTGGCATGTAGGGGCAAGAGCAAAATATGCCACACTTCAGGGCAGTGCCATTATTCGACATAGTGGCAAAAATGTCACTATTGACTAGCCACTATTGAGGAGAATAAGCTTAGATGTTTACGCTGTCGACAGTTTTCGTCGGATCTAAATTCACATGCGATACAGTATTATCTAGGGCGACTCTTTCGTTGCGTGCAGCAATATCCGCGTGAAAATGCAGGTGTCTCCGCCTCTGCCCATCACATGTGAAACGACACTCGATGGTCCAAGTGACAACGAAGTCTCCTACACGTACGGTCCCAACCTACCTTCTTTTGTGTGCAGGCGGACTGGCTTGTTTTCACCATAATGGGGTTCAACCCCACAAGGAAACGACGCTGCGGACACCCTACTTCGGACAACACATCGTATGGTGCGACCACAGGTTCTCTCTCGCCCACGAACACAAGAGACACGCCACTACCCCCGAGGCCGTATAAACTCCTGCCAGCAACATTTTCCGCTGACGTAGATAACAACCTCAAGAGGGAAAGAAAAACAACAGGGGATTCCCGGGGGCAATGAACGGCCGCGCGCTTTCACCCACCCAAACGCGTAACGATGCCTAAACATTGTCTTCTCTGTTTCCCCACCTGCATACGCACATACCCCTCCAATCGCCACTCTCGAAACTGTTGTTGATGCCCTCGAGACACTAATGTATAAAAGTAAGGTTTTGCTGGGTGGTCCTACATGCACTCACCGCATTCCGGAACTGCGCAGCCGAGGTTTGGTCCAACAACTGGGTGCACAGCGCGGTCTTCGGAAGAGGGACTGCACAAGTGGCCGAAATAAAGAGAGAGGGGGGTCGGGGGGATCACATACCTTTTTATCCCTACAACCTGTAATGCGCTGCCACGCGCCTTCGACCCAGGGTACAACAGCAACAGCAGTGGTTGTTTGGAACATGTTTCAAGAATTCTCCCACAGATTTTTCGTTGCGGCACTGCACCTCCCCCAAAGGTGCCACGGCACAGCATTGCAACAAAGGCACAGCGGCACAGCATTGCAACAAAGGCACAGCAATAGTCAACCGGTCGTCTTCCATCCCTATTCAGAGATTTAAGAGACTTAAAGCGTGGAGGAAGGAACCAGGGCGAGGCTTCCGCGGATGCAGGAGCACGGGCAGAACACGACGATAAAACAATCTAACCCGCGACTACTGCTGTGGGCACGTCTTTCGGAGCTCTTGATAATGTGCGCCGTTGGATACCGTTTCGGATAGGTTCATGACTCTCCCCACTTTCGCGCCAAAAGGCATTCAAGTATTCAAATATTTGCACGCCCTGTGACCACGGGAATCGACCCCGTCAAGTGCTAGGCTAGTACGGACAGAAGAAGGTACTAGGCAGAGAGAACGGAACGGTTTTTAATGTGAAGACAACAACAACAACAACAACAACAACAATGCCACGGGCGCAGCTACGTTGCAGCCCATTTCTCCGCGCACGGTCGGCACCGTCTTCCATCCACTGATCCATCATCTACACTGCAATAACCCGAGAGAACATGTTCCAAGTTTCGGATGCGTCCAACAAACACCGCCACACTTACCCTTGAATTTGACGTCCATGCCGCTGTTGCGCAGCTCGTTTCCGGCGAGGAGTTCTCCTAGGCCGGAAGGCCTTTTTTGCTTGGTGCCGTCCACCAGGCCCGGTACACAGAACGGGAGGCGGTAGTAAGGGTACGACTCCTGCGGGTTGTTCCATGGCCCCACCGTGTTGACCCACACGATCACGCTCTCGCCATCGTGGTACTGGGGTAGGGGCAAACAGGGGGGGGGGGGCAAGTCAATTTCGTTGATCCCAACGGTCAAAAGCTCGTTCGCCTGTTGTCAGGGCGGGGGTACGAGCTGAAGACAGGTGCCTTGGGAGGGAGGGCACGGGTAAGAAAACCTATCGTTTCGATTCCAATTGATATATAACCCAGGTGCCCAGTAGCTTTAACAAAACACGACAGAGGGGTACCAACAAAATAAAAATAAAAATGTACTGACAAAGAGCAGCAAAAAATCGTGTGGTGTACATGTTTGGTGGCATGTCAGGTTTAGGGCTGTAGCACGCGGGCGTGAACCTTCCCTGCCCCCCCCCCGCCCGCCTACCTTTAACCGACGGAGAGGAAGAGAGGGAGGCTGCAAAGCCCGGCAGTGGCACTGGGCCTCGTCATCACGGAACATGAGCGGACCGCCTTCGCTTGAAATTAAGTTGATGAGAAAATATAACAGGGAGGGGGTATGCAGACCTTATTTCCCTAACCCCTAACCCAACTTCCCCGATTGCATGCTTTATCCCAACATGTGTATAGTACTTAATAGAAAAACCCTGCGAATGGTACTGAAACGAGCGGCGGGTGTTTCTATGCACAGCAAGAGAGAATCGTGACCCCGAAAGCTTGGGCCTGTGCATGTGTGTAGTTATCTACACGTGGCATCGGTTGCGCCAATCGGTTCACCAACGAGAATACCTACCTCGTCCTTTCGTGGGATAACACACGAGTAACGCCTTCCTGGTTCGCATGGTTTCCTCCGACAGGGGGGGCGCCGCGGACTGCTGTAAATGTTCGCGCCGTGTGTGCTCTTTGTCCACATCAACCGCCTACTGTGCGTGTACCAGTTGGCTACATACGCATATGCGTTGCAACCCTTGACTGATGTTAGTTAGTCCAACGAACCGGGCAACAAACAGCATACGACAAATGCTCCCCGTGGCCCGGGGCGGGGGCTTCCGCCGACTTAATAAATAGGAGCGCACTCGTATGACAGGACGAGTGTTTAATGCATATCATACCATTTTTTTTTTCCCCAGCGGAACGGTTTTTAATGCGAAGACAACAACAAGCTGTTATTATTTGCGGAGCTGTGCTTTCGGAATAATAAACGACACCCAGGCCGCCCACTGCTGTTGAAACTAAAAATCTTAATCTTCGTTATCGTGCAACAAAAGGTCGACTGCTGCGGAAGCATATTCATTCCTAGACGGGGGTATCGCCCACGGGGCTGTCGATGAGGCAGATGAGGCATTGTCCCGTTCCCTAGAGCTAAAATCCTACGCCACCGCTCCCGCGCAATTTCTTCAGATATTCTGATCGGTCTGATTTTTTTTTTCTGTTTTCCTCGACATCATGGTCCACACACACACAGCAGCAGCGTAACAGCAGTCAGCTGAAGAGCTTGGCAACACATTCACTGCTGTCGGCTTACGGTTATTAGTTGGTGTAGCATTGCAAGGGAGTGCAACATGCCTCGTTGAGGCACCGAATCATTGCGGAAACATCTCTACCACAAGAGGAGCGTAAAACATTACACCATACACTTATTTACAAGAGACCCACCTTCGCGATGATGCGAGATGAACCCCTGTTGCCGACTGGTACAGCAGTAGTACTATTATATTAATACTGCTGTAGAGTGGAATTTTGGATTCACCCGGATTAACACTCTTTTCTTGCTGTGTACCATGGTAGTGGGATATGCATATCACTTCCCGATACATGCTTGCATGAGATTGCCCAGCTAACTGACTCTCTGTGCTTAATCGTACGGTGTCCCCTACGCGTGATGCACTTTTCAGGCGTAGGCAGCAATGTGTTGGGTGCATCCAACGTCTACACATGGCATTGTTAAACACGACTTCCTGTAATAAGAGGCCTACCCCCAACGGTAGCGTGGCCTCACGCCGTGGTCGCACACGGGCATCTTCTGCTTCTACCCCCACAACGCATGTACATACAGCAGTTTCCCCCCACCTTGTGGTTGATGTCGTTCGCCTCCACAAATCTCCCCAAGAGCAGCAAGCCGTACAAGCAGCACAACGCCCCTGCTCGCCACGCCCTCCCCCCCGTCGGAAGTAAGCCCCCCCCCCAGCTCCTTCGCCGCACCATGTCCCTCTCGAGAAGTCAAGCCTTGCCCGGCCGAATCTTTCGGCTGGTAGCCGAGCCGGAAGCGGAGGACGCCTGCTGCAGCCAGGCTACTCCAGCCGTCGAGAGTGGCGACGATCCAATGCCAGCGGCGGCCGCAGGGATTCTCTTGCGCACTGCCCCTCTTGCGCAGACCCACAGGCAGCAGGTAGGGGACTCTGACCGATGGTCCTGCCCCAGCGTGCACCCACAAAGAAAGCGAGCTTCTTGGGCCACACACCCGTTTTCTCCAGGGTCGGTACCGCTCTGCGTTATGACACCGCGCCCTGCTCGAGGATGTGATATATATCACGGGAAAAACTACCCTAGCAGCAATGCCAATGTTCCTTCCCTTCTTGTGCACTCACTGCCGTCTCCGATCCCGGCGGAGAGATTTGTTCCCCGGCGAGGGGAACGGCAGACAGGACCAGAAACGGGTATCCCGTCGTTTTGTCAGGGGGGGGGTGCGTGGCCACCAGGCTGCGGTGCAAAGCGAAGCAAGGTGCGCATAGCAGCGCGCTCACAGCAACATAGCCGCTGCAGGCGTCATGGTGCTTTCGTGGAAAGTGGTGTCCCTTCTTGTTGGAGCTATTTCGGCTCAATGGCGACATGGTGGCGGCGGCGCCTATGCTGCGGTGCTATCGTCATATCCGGGATATTGCGCCAAGGACATGGACCTGAATTCAATTCCATCCCTGGACGATAGCGTCCAAGCTTCGTTCGGAGGCGGTGTGTCGCTGGATGATGTCGAGCTACTACAGGTAAAGCTCTTGTCGGTTCCCCTCCTGCCCCTGTCCCGCCACAGCGAGAAATGGAAGGGCAATACGAAAATATGAAAACTGCTGCTGTACTACTACTGTACCTGGGACGTGCATCTCACGGGTATCAGTGATTGTTCCGTTTGCGAAGGCAGCAGCATACCCTTGCTGAAAAACTCTGCAAGCAGCGAGCGAGAGGGCAAGAGTAGAGAATGCTACATAGCGCTGCGGTTGAATTGTCGATAACGAAGCAGAAATAACCAACTGCGCCTCGTCCAACTTGACTCTCAACCAGTTGCACGATAAATGCAGTGTGAAAGTGTGGAGGCACGCCTGCACACACGAACAAGAAGGGAGGCGCGGTGTATCAAGTCTCATACAATACTGTGGGCATCCTGCTGCGTGGCCGATTGGTGTGGGTTTGTGCCCGGCCAATGTGGAGTCCTGCAGTGTCTGCAGCAAGAACTGATGCATGAAGAATCTTCTCCTCTATCAAATGGTCACTTCTTTTCATATCTTGTCCGCTGGTGGATTACTGCTGTAGCGTGGTGGACCAGTAGCAAGTTCGTCAATATACAGACTTCTGGAAACGCCGAAGGAGAGAGAGAGAGAGAGAGAGAGAGAGAGAGAGAGAGACTAATGTACCTCAGCTGTGCTGCTGCTCGGCCGGCCCGACGTCCCTCGTGTTGACGCAAGGCGGGACGATCAGGGTATTGAAAATTACCAGGCACCTCTGCATCGTTCTACCGGTGGTCTTATAGCACGCCGCCTAGTTGGCAGAGGTCCTACAGCCCGCTGTGCCTCCATGGTTGTCCACTAAATAATCGCCTCATGTGTGAGAACCCAATGGTTGCAGACAGCCACCTCTTTTTTGGAGGTTGTAGGAGGAAGGATGTTGCTGCCTGTCGCGCCAGCTTCCAACACCGCAGGAGATGAGAAACGCGGGTGCTAACGTAGTGCACGTCTGTGTCCCGAAAGCTGCACCGGAGAACGTGTGTCTTGTGTGATACCTCTCTTCTGGTATACACTCTCCTTTTCGTGGCGAGCCTTCCTGTGCCCCTCTACGAAATATCACCCCGTCTGAGGTTTAGAAGCAGCAACATGCCACCGACAATCAATTGTAACTAACCTTCCGCCCTTGTTGCTGCTGCTGCTGCATACACCGAACGCAAGGTGCACGCGATGATCAGACATGGAGCTCGCGGACCTTACACCAAACCGCGGTGCTGGGAAGGGTACGCCGAGAACTGGGACTGCAACGTCACTGAGGTGATCAAACACATATGCTCGAAATGTCGCATTATGTTGTGTGCTCCACGCTTTCATCCTCTTGTCACGTGTTTTCTCCGGTGTGCTCGTACCCGCCAATAGCTGAGGTGGCACCTTTCCCTCTTGGTCAGGTTCAACGTCCAGGGCGGTCGTCAGTCCTTCAAGGCAGAGTGAGAACAGGAAGTCAAATGGTGGTACATTATTCTGAGGGTTGAGAATAATGAGAATTTATATGCGCCGGCGCATTGCTAAGGCCGCCGCCGCTGCTAATGCCCCACGGCTGTGAGTATTTGTTGTCGACGTGCTATCCCGGGTGCACCTTTTTTTCCATCCCGCATCCGTTTCTTTTTGGGGGGGGGGGATGGCCCGTACAACCGCGTTCTTGTTGTGGTCCAGGTGGTGTCTCCCAGTCTGTCTGCTGACGATGGGGGAGTTGGTGCGACAGGCCTCTTCCGGAAACTGTACGACGCATACCCTTCGGACAACGCGCTCAGTGGCACCTGCATGGCGGGGCAGCTGCTGGACGAAGGATATGAGCAGGAGCAGGCGAACGGCCGGTGAGGGGGGGGGGGTCCGGGGCCGGTTGAACACTTACACCTGCGCTGCACGTGGCCGTATACGTTTTTGTCATTCTGTACTTTCCATCCATCTCTACAGTAGTATTTATCTCTCTCTTTCTCTGTTGTCCATCTCTTTCTCTCTCGTTTTCTCCCTTTCCCTCTCTGCCTTTACCCTGTCGGTGTCCCTGCTGTTTTTGTAAGGACCGGTCGCGGGAGCTAATAAATTCTGATGCGCTACTTACCTGCCATCTTTTTCGTACCAATTTTCACAAAAATATGTGTTCGTTTCTGTCCGATTGCGGGGCCCAGTCACCTTCGAGACGCCTACCTGTGCGGAAACCCGTCCTGCCTGGCGGCCGCGAACGCTACCGCGAAGGAGCTACAGGACAGCGGGGCTCTCTACCTCCGCAGCGACGACGAGCAGAGGACAGTCATGTCGGGGCAGGTGAAAAGAGGGAGAGAGGGCTTCTCGTTTGTAGTTCTCCGGAGTCGTTTGGGGAACAGCGAGTTGGCGCCGCCTCTGGCCTATCTGAAGTTAGCTTGACCTTGCCCGATTCTATGCTCTGCCGTTCGGTCCATTTAACTTGGGTCCGGCTGAGGTATTGTGCTCCACTCCATCCTGATGCTAGGTTTTACGAATCGGTCGCCTCCTCCCCCTCCCCCCGCTTTTGATGCTGCCATGTCACGATCTCGAGCGGTGCTGGTGTTGCGCGGAAGTCGCACAACATCTAGCCCGCAGATAGGGACAAACCACGACAGGCAGCGTCAACGAGGAAATATATTACAATATGAGAGTAGGAAAACACACATGCACACATGGTCCAGTGGGCTAGGTTAACCCCCCCCCTCCCCCCTTATCCCACCTCTCGCGACGCGTGTGTCCAGATACTGACCGCCAGCATGCTGAACGTGTCTGGCGCGGTGTTAGACTGGCACACAGGGGACGACCAGTACGACTACCTGGCGCCGAACTTGGAGACTTGCCCTCGTCTGGGGGAACTGTCGGGGGAGGCTCTTAACGACCCTTCCTGGATAGAAGTGTGAGAGAGAGAGATGCCTTGTATTATGTATTTATACTGACTCTTAGCACATACCCCTCGGGAGAATATATATATATATATATTTTTTGTCAGTATAACCCACCGAATGTATCTCTATCTATTGAAAAGAGTCATTAGCAATACATCGATCCATAGCGTCAGCGAAAGTTCTGTTTTTCCACGATTTGTTTTTGGATGTTTGAAGATGCTGAGCGGAGACCGAAACGGCTTTTTATTGTGAAGACAACAACAACAATAACAGCATTTTTTTTTTTTGTTACTTATTTTGTGTTGCTTCCATTTTATCTGGGCACGCCAGTCGACGCCTCTCGGTACATACTGCAGGATGTAGTGGTGACCGCACCAGCTAGGGACACCCAGGAGAAGAAGGAAGGCAGTAACTCGACTTTTGTGTTTTTTTGTGGTCCACCTTTCTTTCTGGGGTGCTTGCCTTCAGTATTTAACACGAAAGGCCGTATTGGGAAGCTTGAATATCTGCTGGTATTATTTTCTGCTGTTGTGGTAGCGGCAGTGGTGCTGTCTTGCGAGTTGGTAACTGGTTCTCGCGGCGGTGATGGTCCATGCCGTGGCGACATATTTTTTAGCGTGGTTCGTGTACTGTATTAGTAGGAGAGTGCGCGTTCGGTACTCTAGGGCAAGGGCCGCGGAATTTGTGCGGCTAGGTTCCGCGGGTCTAGACAGCGTGGTCCAGACAGCCGGGGCCGCGGGTTTGTGCGGCTAGGTTCCGCGGGTCTAGACAGCGTGGTCTAGACAGCGTGCAGAGCACGCGCCGGCAATAGACGAGAGGTGTCGAGCTAGGATAGGAGATAGGAGATAGGATTGTGGAGCCTGTTGCTCTTGGACAGTGGACAGCAGTGCGGTGGTGGTGCGGTAGTGTTTTATGCGGGGATGGTGGTGTTTCATTGCTTGTTTTTTCTAACGCGAGTGTTGATTGGCGTCCTCATCATCGCACTGACAAACGCGCGCCTGCCTCACAACATGCGGCGCCAGACACGCTTCTAACCCCTGTAGTGCATCCCGAAACGACTCTCACCCTTACGGCAGTACCAGCTCGTGGGAGAACACGGCATTGAACGAGTCCATGACGAGCGTGTGGGAGCAGGAGGTGGTCTGGTGGGATGTGCTGGACTGTCTTATGACGACTGCGTGTACGGGAAGGGAACTGCCGGAAGGTGTGCGCTGATGCCCGTGTGCGTGCATGTGTTTCTCTTAGTTGTAGTATCGACCGCGCCAACCGTCTGACCAATGAAAATACGTCAGTCTCAGTGAGGCCACGATCTGGTACCCCTGGTGAGGGGGCGTCATGAGGGAGGCTAAACTGCTCTCCGGATTAAATACAGAAACGGTAGCAACAGATGTGTGTATGTGTTTTTTGTTAGCATCGGCCGCGCTACATAACCGGCTGACCAATGAAAAAACGTCAGTCTTAGTACGGTGTGTGTGTGTGTGTTTGTGTTTCCTCCCGCCAGTACTGGCATCGACCGCATCGCCTGCTTGTCGGTGGCAAGGCATCTACCGTGATGAATGTGCGCGTGTTGGCCTCTGTTATTTGCATCGACCGCGCTAGCCTGCTTACCCTACTATAATAGTTAACTCCTCGTGTGTATATGTGTGTTGGCCTCTGTTAATTGGCATCGACCACGCAATCCGGTCGGCCACGTTGAAGCGTCAGCCGTAGTGTGTGTGAGACAGATGAGGCAGGGAGCGTGACAAGCAGAGAGGCAGCAGATAGGCAGTCTGTCACTGTGTCTTGGTGTTTTCTGAATTGACAGGACAGAAGGTCCGAGTTTTGTTGTGTTGAGACACGATCGCGACAGCAGTGGAGAGATTGGGCTCTCCTTCTACATGTGCTATCTGAATTTTTAAACATTGGCTTTCTATTGAACTGAGTAAACTCTCACCACTAAAATTGCCTCTTCCTACATGTGCTAACTGGTCTTTTGACCGCAGGCTCTCTCTTGCACTGAGTTGCCTATCAGCGCTAAAACCTCCTCCATTGTTCGGCCGCCCATGTGTCCCACGGCAATGCGCCGGTTCGGACCGCAATAGAGCTAACGGATGAGGTATTTGCAGCGGCGGTCGACTTCTCGACGCAGAAAATGGTTCAAGAAGCCTCCTTCAACGACGCTGCGTACGGAAAGCTCGCCATGGCAAAGCTTACGAGAGAGGTACAAGAACGGGCTAATCTGGTCTCTCGTATCTTCTTGATGCACTCTTAAAAGCGTAAATTACGGCTGCTCTCGGTGATGACCCTTTTGCAAGTCCCTGTTCTGTGCTATAAAATCTGTCTGTCTCTGTCTTGTCTGTCTGTCCCTCCACCTCTCTCGCTATTGTCTTTCTGTATTGGCGTTTTTTTATAATACCTGAACACGCTTCTCAGAATCGCACATGTCGGGAAGATACAGCGTACATTAGCTGCTGGCCGGCCTTTAATATGCTCCGGATATTTACGGCGGACGTCCCTCACCCTCTCCCGTTCTCGTACAGCAGTAGGTCTCATTTGCTGATAGGGGCAGCATACGTGCATCATGGTCCTGCTGTCTTCTGTGTGCTGTATTCCGCCTGCCGACGTGTTACGTAATGGTTTTATTTCGGCAGTCCGAGCGAGGAGAGCCGCCATCCGACATTTACGGATACCCAACCTAGGATCCAAACAGCCAACTCTTGTAGCGCGGTATGTCAGACTACTCCATTGCCTTGGTCGGTCGTTGACTTCTCAACCGCAAAGCGGCAGCGTTTCACAAACACATACACCGTCAATGGTCTAACGACAACGGCATGCACGGATCTAAGTACCCCCCCCCCCCCCCCCCCCCCCCCCAAGAGGCCCCCAGGGGGGGGGGAAAAAAGGGAAAAAAAATTTTTTGGGGGTGTGGGGGAAAAAAAAAACCCCCCCCCCCGGTTGGGGGGCGCTCAAAAAAGGGGAAGAAAGCCCCCCCCCCCCCAAAGGGAAGCGGTGTGAATAGTGTTAATACAACAGGAAAAGAGAAATCGGGGGGGCCGCCCCCCCCCCCCCCCCCAACCG